AAGTGAGAGCCACATATTGAAAAGGAGTCGCCCTTTGTCCGTGAAGCTCCTGCATGTATTAAGACGACTGTGCGCCGCGCTTTGGCAAGCGCCACGTCTGAAAAGGACCCTTCTTCTTCCGTTCGTGAACCTCTTGCGAGCTCTTCAGACGAATGCGTGCGGCGCTGGCGCGAAAACCACATGTTGAAGAGGGCCCGCTCTCCATCCGCGAAGCTCTGGCAAATTGGCAAGACGAGTGCGCGCGGCGTGAAGGCGCGCCGGTAGAGGGAAACAAATACTGAACACTCCCCCTCCCCCCCAAACTCAATGTTGGCACGCGCGGGGGAGACTGCGGTCGAAGTGCATCTCATCAGACCCACCGCCAACTTTGAACATTGGGGGGAGGGGGAAGCGTTGATGGATGAATGTGGCATGTGTTCGCTAATTTGTTCCGAGGCCTGGAGCTTCATGTTGGAAAGGACCCGCGCCCTCCGTCCGCGAAGCCCTTGCATGTTTAAGGCGCGTGCGCGCGGCGCGAAGGCGAGAACCACAAACGCCTCGGGGTGCGACAGAGAGGAGCTGCCCAGAAGGAAAACGAATGCAGGACGAGGCGAAGGAGCAGCAGAAACAGGAGGAACAGCAGGAGGAGGAGGAGGAGCAGGAAGAGGAACAGCACGAGGATGAGGAGGGACAGGAGAAGGAGGAGGAGGAGGAATCCATCTTCCCTCGTTAGTGCTATGACGGATTGTTCGACATCTCTCTTTTTTTTCTGTCCCTTCCTCCTGCTGTTTGTTTACCTTGGGTAGCTTACTCCCAGCCACACGTTGCCACGTGTGTCGCCGTTGGCCCCCGGAGCGGTGCTCCAGGGGTCACCTGGCCCCAGTTCGATCAACGCCCCAGGGCCGACCGACCCTGGGGGGAGAGCTGCGTCTCGGCCCGACGCTTCGGCCAACAGGCAACAGGTAACGGGAGGAAGAAGAGGACGAGGACAGGGAAGCGGAGGAGGAGGAGGGAGAGGTGGAGAAGGAAGAGGAGGAGGGAGAGGTGGAGGCGGAGGAGAGGAGGAGGAGGAGGAGGAGGAGGAGGAGGAGGAGGAGGAGGAGGAGGCGGAGGAGGCGGAGGAGGAGGAGGAGGAGGGGCCGCCGCCGCGCCCTCCCGCAGCGCCCTGCCGCAACGCCCGCCAGTTGCGGCGCGGCCCCCACGCGCAGGGGGGGCGCCGCAGCGTGCCGGCCATGCCGCTTCGGGCGCGGCGGGGCTGGAGGCGATCGCCTCGCTCACCCCGAAAATCAAACATCGGCACAAACATAATGTTGCCAAGGTCCGCGCGGATTTCTTAGATCGGCGCTGGAGCCCCCTGGCGGCGCCTCGGGCGCCGCCCCTGGCGCTCTCCGCACGCCAGGGAAGGGCTCCAGCGCCGATCCGAAAAATCCGCGCGGACCTCCAAGGAATCATGTTTGTGCCGATGCGTGTTCCCTTAGTCGTGCCGCACTGCTGTTTTTCACCCTCGCCCTTCCGCACATTCTGGCCGCGCGCGCGCCGCGAGAACATGTTGCATTGCCTGCTGCGGACGAAGGGGCATGCGTAAACGGTCACTAATGGCGACCGACATTCTGCGTGAACGACCCTCGCCTTCGATAGTTCACACGTTGCGGACTGAGCTAAGGCATGGCTCAGCTTGTGCGTTGCCTTCGTTGAGTGCTCGTGCCAGGCATGTGGCCAAGAAGCGTCGCTCGATCACCGCGTTGCTCACTCGTGGTTGAACTTGTTGTTGGCGGCACTGCGATCTTCCCCCTCCTCTTCAACAGTGCGCAGTTCAGCGAGGTGCGGACCGACCCGAATTCAGAATATATATATATATATATATATGTATATATACATATATATATATATATTCATAATATTTATTATTATTATTATTATTATTATTATTCTTATCATTATTATTATTATTATCATCATCATTATTATTATTCTTATTATCATTATTATTATAATTATTACCCGGACCCCCACCCCACCCCACCCCACCCCTAAACCGGAACCCCCCTCCCAGGAAACCCCAGACGCCCCTGCCCTCCACCCAACGAACGCCCTGGACGCCCTTTCGGAGTCTCGGCGGCCTTCCGGGCAGTTGAACGCCCCTGCCGATCGGAGCCCACGGGCCCAAATCGGGCCCCAAGACGGCCCATCAGCGCTCAAAGAGGACCCAGTATGGTTCCCAGACGGCCCACGAGGCCCCCAAGACGGTCCAAGAGGCCCCAAAAGGGACCCCTAAGAGCCAAAAATCGTTTCATTCCCTGAGGAAACGTACGTTTTTCAAAATATCATTTTTTCCGCGTTCACAGCGTCCACGGCATCCCCAGAGACTCTCAAGATCGCCCCAGGACGGCCTCCGAGGCCTCTATGAGCGGCCCAGGGCGGCCCAAGAGAAGCCCAAGGCGGCCCAACAGGGGCCCCAGAGGGCCCCGAGAACTCCCACGACAGCCCCAAGAGAGCCACAGGAGGCCCCCAAGAGTGTCCCAGGAGGGCCCCCGAAAAGCCCCTGGCCGGCCCGGCCTCCCAAAACGGCAACCAGAGGGTTCCGGGACGGCCCAAGAACGTTCCAAGACGGCCCAAAACAGCACCAAAAGGAGTCATCTGGTCCGGAGAGTCACCAGGAGATCAGCCGCGAGCCCACACCGTTCCAATATAGCTTCCAGCAGTTTTCTTACACTCCACGATGCCGTAGTTCGCAGGACGGTGGTTCGAAAGGACCTCAGAAGAGCCACAAGCGTCCAGCAGGCGTTCAGGAAACGACCAATCGTCGTCGCCGCCGTTTTCGTCTCTCTCTCTCTCTCTCTCTATCCCGTCCCCCTTTTCTGTCTTCTTTGTCGACCTTCACGTCCTTGGCATCGGATGGCCATCCTCATTCGCCCGCTCCTTCCTCTGGACCTTCTCCCCGTTTCTCCCCCCTCTTCCCCCCTTTCCGCCCCTTGAGCCCCCCCTCCCCCTGCTCCCTTCCCGTTCCCCGTTCGTAGACAGGTGCCATCGCAACCGTTTGATGCTTCGTCGTGTGCCAGAGCATTCGCGCGTGAAAAAATCACCCTTCCCCCCCCACTTCTGCGCACAGGCGTGCAAACCCATCGGGCGAACGCACGGTTAGCAAGGTCCAGGGATAGCAGAAAAATGAGCCAGCCGCCCGTCCAGGCCTCGACGCCCCCTCTGCTGAAACACGCGATGACTCATTGCTTTACCGAGGAGCGTCCGGAACAAGGCACATGGCGCGAATCGCCAATGCAGTCTTATATATATATATATATATATACACATATGTACATATATATATATATATATATATACACACAAGGCAGCATTGGCTCTTCACGCCATGCACCGTGGCCTCTCAGGATCAGCGCGCAGGCGGCAGGCGGGGCGCGGGATAGCGAGAGAGAGAGAGAGAGAGCGAGAGAGAGAGAGAGAGAGCGAGAAAGAGAAAGAGAAAGAGAGAGAGATCTTACCCCAAATGACGAAGGTTCTTGAATGCCGTAAGGCCCATCGTGTTACAAATACGCGAGCAATTATGTTACATATCACCTGTCCATCAGGCCCTTCTTTGGCATTTTGCTGTCGTCTGCGAGCGTCCCTGTTACCATGTTCAGATTGTATTGCGTCGCCTCCTCCTTGGAGGGCTTTCCGGGAATCTCGCGAGAGTCGTTTGGGGCTGCTGGTGGTCCGTGGGTGCCTGTTGAGTTATGATGGAAGCTTTTGGGTGCGAGAGCGCGCTTCTGGTTCCTTCAGCGATTATCCAGGCGCAGTCCTAAGCCCCGGTTTCCATTGTATGGTGTGCAGAGTGCGAAACGCTCATGGGCCGTCTGGGCGCATGTGGAGTCTGTCCTGTGAAACTCTCTGGGTCGTCTGGGCCCTCTTGGTGACTGGGGCCATCTGGTGGCCACCGGAGCCCGAGCTGGGGTCCTCCTGGACCGTTCTTGAGCCATCACGGAACCGCCTTGGGCCGTCTTGGGGCTTTGTTGAAATTTTCGTGGGCCATCTTAAGGTTATCTTGGAGGCTGCTTGGGCCGCCTTAAGCTGACGGGAGCCCGAAAAGGTGGCACGTCGAAGATCCATGAAACACCTAACGGACATCACATATGTTGGCTCTCTTGAAACCCTCTTGGGCCGTCTCGGAGGTTTCTTAGGCCGTTTCGAGGCCATTTTGGCTAGCTTTTGGGCTATATCGGGCTGGCGGGGCCACCTAAGACAATCTTGGCACCTTTGGTCGCATGCCTGGGCCGTCTGGCAAGCCACCTTCAGCGATCTTAAGCATCCTGGACGCACTAGAGAGCGCCATGGAGGCGTCGGGATGCGCAGGGAGCTTCGGGAGAGGGGGGATGCATGCAGATGGACGCTGGCAGGAAGGGGGGTCCTTTTGAAGACGATAGAATCCCTGCCAGGCAGCACTTGGCATTCTACAAGGCCGTGCCAGGGGGCACGGTGGCGGATTTGTAAGGAACCAGGATGGAAGAGGAGCAGGAGGAGGAGCAGGAGCAGGAGGAGGAGAAATGATTATGACAAAGAAGAGGGAGGAGAAACATGAGGACATGGAGGAGGAGGGCGAGAGATGAGAAACAAAAATGGAAGAGAAATGGGAGAGGTTTGGTAGATAAGGAACGTCTTCCTTTGGAGCTAGGTCCCAAAGCGCCACTAGTTTTATCGGGGTGGAGCACATGTTGCCCGCGGTCTTCCCCACGAAAGACCACCCACCAGACGTGGGCCTCGTGTCCTCATTACTTCCCGCCGTGGACCAGAGGGCGCAGCCGCCTCGAGGTTCGAGAACCAGCTCACCGACAGAGGCCCGAAGATGATCGCGCCCAGCGCCTGGCAGCCCGGGCTGCAGAGGTGCCCTCCTCCCGGGCGGCGGCGCGGGGGCGCGCCGAAGTAGCCGCGGACCGTGGGGCGCGAAGCGCGTTGCTGGGTGGGCGCTCTGGCGCGAGGCCTCGGGAAGGGCGACGCCTGGCACCCGGAGGCGCGATCTCCTTGCGTGGAGTTCTGAGGTCTTCAAGGGGGGGCTCCCTCGCGCATGCCCTTGCGCGAAGCTCCGGCCGAGCCTCCAGCGCCATGGCGTCCCCTCCGGAGAAGAAGCTGAAGACCGGGGAGGAGGCGAAGGACGTCGAGATGGCCGAGGAGAAGGAGGAGCCGGGGCCGCCGAAGGAGCTCGAGGTGGACGCGAAGCCGCTCAAAGGAGGCGCGGTTGGAGCGGTGGAGTTCCTGGTTCCTGATACGACGGTCAACGTCATGACCTCCACTGTTGGGGACCTCCTGATGCCTCTGCGCGACAACGGCTTTCAGTACCTCCTCGCGGGTGCACGCGCCAGCGTGGGAGTCAAGGCGGGGAGGTACATGTTCGAGATCAAGATCGTAGAGTCGTTCTCTACGAAAGAGTTCAGCGGTCTGCTAAAGATTGGCTTCTCGTCTGCCAGCTCGTCGCTGCTGCTTGATTCCGATAAGACCAGTGCCAGTTTTGATTCGCATGGCTGGTTCTACGGCGGCGCAACGTCTGCGAAGGTCAGCCAGAAGTTGCATAAGGGCGACGTAGTGGCGTGCTTGCTGAACCTCGAAAAAGGCAGCCCAAACTACAACACCATCAGCCTTTTCAAGAACGGCTCGCGTGTTGCACAGCCCCAGGCTCTCCCAGAGAGCCTGCACGGTAAGGCCATGTTCCCCACTGTCGCTTTCAAGTGCATGACGCTGCACACGAACTTCGGCCCAGAGCCGATGTGCCCGCTTCCCTTCAAGTGCCACATGGTGGGGACGGCCCCGAAGTCCGACGCAGAGGTCACGAAACACGCGGCCATGGAGGAGGGTGAGGTGCTCTTCCCAGTCAGTTTGCCCGACGAGGGCAGCTTCGACTGGCTGGACCCGTGCTTAGACTGCCTCATTCCGTCCTGTACGCTCTCCTCCGACGTCGCACTTTTGTTTTGGCGTGGGCCCCACTTGGAGCACCGCGGCGGGTACTAAGGGGACATGGTCGGGACCCGTTGGTCAGCGTGTCGCTCCGCCGGTTCTGGCCCACCACGCTTCGGCGCCCACCCACGTCCCAGCACCCAGGCGTACACGTCGCGAGCCTTTCCGAGCATCCCGCCGCGCGGAGCGGAGCGACAGGCGAATCCGCTTGCACGGGACAGCGTGTCGCTGCGGCGGCCGCAGCGACAAGCGAAGCAACACATTCCGACCGCAGGGGTGTTGAGGTGAGTTGTATCTGGCCTAATCAAGTTGGCAGTTGGGCCCTAAGTTATTTAGTCGGGGGTGGACAGAACCCCCAACAGTGACACGTCGATTAGTGAATTGTCCGTTTTCGGTTCTCGAGAGGGCGCCGTGGCCATTATTTTCCAGGCTTGCGCCCGCCAGGTTTGGGCCGCAGGTTTTTCTCGCTAAACCACGTTTTGCTAAAGGGGGGTCTGTCCATCCCCGAGTTAGGGGGTACCCCCGCAGCCCACTTAAGGCATGCGGAACCCACTTGAGGATAGGTCTCGCCAGACGCAGCCCAGCGTCAACTTGTAACCCTCTGACCCCGTTAGCGTCCCTCGTGGTGGTCCAAGGAGAGACCTCGACCCATTCACCGGAGCGGGCTTCTCATCCTGGGTCTTTCGTTGAGTGCCCTTGGACCAGGAAACGACGTCCGCAGGTCAAACAAAAAAGGGAAAAAGCGACGAACAGCCGGCAGCCATGATCCCTGCTGCGACGCCAGGGTCTGAGGGCAGTTGATCTTGATCCGACGGCCGATCGATCTCGGGCTGCCTCGATGCAAGAGCCCTTACGTGACTGTCTGTCGCCAACGTGGACCCTCACAGGTCTTCCCTGGGCTCGGATTCATCCCAAGCCTTTTTCTTCAGTCACAGAGCTTGGTTATCCGGAGTTCGCAGAGGCGGGGTTATCCCAAGGAGGGGTTAGGAGATCGACCCAGATGGATGCTCACATTTCCCTGCTCCAGGGCCGTTAAGAGCTGTGCTCCTCTTCCTCCAGCTCTACCCCTACCCCACCTTCATCCCCCCCGAGGTCAGGAGCCCCCTAGCGAACGAACATGGCCAGGAAAGACGTGCCCTGCCGTGATCGCGTTGCCACTACGTAAGAGACGGTCTTGGCCCGTCGATCCCAGAACTGATGTCCTCAACTGTTCGGTGCGGGGTCAGCAGAAGTCCCGACCCCTTCCCGGGACCGGTTTCTCGTCCTCGGCCGTGGGTTCGCGGCCCCGAGGCTCGACAAGAGCCCCCAGAGGCCCCACACGGCCAATCAAAGCCTCCGGCCCAAATCCTTTCAGGACGCGGGCAGATCCAGGGATCGATCAGCAACGGACGGAGGAGGAGGAGGAGGAGGAGGAGGAGGAGGAGGAGGAGGAGGAGGAGGAGGAGGAGGAGGAGGAGGAGGAGGAGGAGGAGGGGAGGAGGAGGAGGAGGAGGAGAGAGGAGGAGGAGGAGGAGGAGGAGGGAGGGAGGAGGAGGAAGAGGAGGAGGAGGAGGAGGAAGAGGAGGAGGGAGGAGGAGGGAGGAGGAGGAGGAGGAGGAGGAGGAGGAGGAGGAGGAGGAGGGAGGAGGAGGAGGAGGAGGCCCGGCCTGCGGAGGCCCAGGGCTCGGTGGCCGGCTCGCCCCAGGCCGATCGGCGCGGGGGGGGGCCCGCTCCGCGCGGGGGCCCGTCGGCGCGGGCCGCGCGCGGAAGGGCGGCCGGTGGGGCCCTTCGCCGGCCATGCTGCGCGCGAGAGCGAGCAGAGGGGGGGAGGGCTTCTACTCGTGGGCGGAAAAGAGGGGGGGGATGACCCCCTCCTTCTCCTCCCCTCCCTCCTCCTCCTCCTCCTCCTCCCTCCTCCTCCTCCTCCTCCTCCTCCTCCTCCTCCTCCTCTCCTCCTCCTCCTCCTCCTCCTCCTCCTCCTCCTCCTCCTCCTCCTCCTCCTCGTTGCGCTACTTAGTGCGACAGCCGGCCCTACGCTCTAGGCGTGCAGGGCGGTACCGGCGGGAGGGACGAGAAGAAAGCACAGAACAGGTCGGGGGCGGAAAAGAGGGGGGTGATGACTAGGGGGGGGGTGGATATCATGGCGGGGGCCATGATTTTTCCCCAGATTTCAGGGCGCCTCGTCTTGTTTCATTGCGTCCCTGGCCCCCCCGCTGGGCCGCGCACATGCCGCCGGTCATGATTTGCACCCCCCCCTCTTGGGCACCCCCCTCTTGGCCGCTCCCGATCTACAGTCGGGGCGCTGAAGAAGGAACCTTTTTCGTTGGGGAGGGGCTCGGTGTTCCTTGATGGCTTAACAGTTTGTCTCGGGTGATCCTGAGGTTTCCCATGGGAAGTCGAAGTCAAACTTCTGGAGAAAAGGGGCCTCGTTCCTCATTTAGGGTTCCTTAGGTCCACGCCCCGAGTGTATGTGGACGCCCGAGATGGGCACGGAAAGAAGGGGCGCAATGCCCATCAACAAGTGTTGTCCCAAGCCAACAGCGGCCGCTGTTGGGCAGGCGGCCTCCTGCCTCAAACGGGCACGGGCCGCGGCGGCGCGGGCAGCGAGTCCTGTTCAGAATGAACAAGAACTGCTGTCGGTCTTTGTACCCATTCTTTCCGTACCCATGTCAGGATGCGGGCAGTTCCAGGGATGCGGGCAGATCCAGGGCTGCCGGCACAAATCCTTTCAGGATGCGGGCAGATCCAGGGATCGATCAGCAACGGACGGAGGAGGAGGAGGAGGAGGAGGAGAAGGAGGAGGAGGAGGAGGAGGAGCAGTCGGTCTTTGTACCCATTCTTTCCGTACCCATGTCGGGCGTCCCGTAAACCACGCCTCCTCGCGTCGCGGTTACAAGTCAGGACGCGAGGTTGGGGGCCGTTGGAGGCTCGTGGGGGCCCTCACCGGCCCTGGCAACCGTCAGCAAGCAGCCCGGGATGAAACACCAATCCCAGGAGTCGGGACTCCTGGGAGGAGGAGGAGGGAGGAGGAGGAGGAGGAGGAGGAGCAGGAGGAGGAGGAGGGACCTCGTGTCGAACAAAAATGGCATCGCATAGCCGAGAGCCTCTCGGGAAACACCTGCCTTCTTATGGAAGCACCCTGGCCTTGTTTTGGAAGACCGCTCCCCTTTTGCGCTACGTCCCTGTGTGCGCCGCCAAGAGCGCAACTCTTCGCCGGAGTGGCACTTGCTGCGGGCCCACATGGGGCCCCCCATCGGTGGCGGCGATAGGGGCGGATAGGCCAGGGGAGAGCAACACATGTATATCCAGAGCCTCCGCTCGCCCTTTTCCTTCGACGACGCTCTCGGACGAGTCGCGTGACGCCCGCCCCGGGCCCAGCCGCCCCCAATGGTCCGCCCCCCTAGAGCTGGCCTGCCTGCTCGGACCCTGACCTTCCAGAGTGCTAAAAATAGCCCTCCAGACCTATAGACCTATCTGGGCTGCCTAAACCCTCGACAGGAGTTAAGATATCGAGGTCCTGGTGCTCTTTTTTAGCCCTCCTGGAAGGTCAGGGGAGTGGCCCCCCCCCGCGGCCCCTCCAGGCCCCGCTCGGCCGAGGCCACCCCTGCCCGGGGCCGCTCTTGCGCGCAGCCGAGCCCGGGGCGCGGCGGCCTATCGCTGCCCCCAGGCGGTGCCACCGAGCTGCCCAGCTGGCCCAGTGGTCGTGATGCTGTCACTCAGGAGGGGAAAAAGCACGCAGACACAATGAATCGTCGATCTCCCGAAAATATGCGAAAATGTGAGACGTGGGGGGAAGACAGAAGCCGAGAAGATATGGGAAAGTATGGGGAATCTTTTTATTTGTGTGTATTTATTTGTGTGTCCCAGGGCCCCTTCAGTCACGCCGGGGCGTTTCTGGCCGGTCCGTCGTGCCCCAGGGCCCTCGCAGGCCGATCATCCGGCTCGAGGGACGGAGTAAGAGTGTCGCGACGTCGGATCTCAGGGTAATTAGGCACGGCATTTGGATCACCACAGGCGGGGCCAAGGGGGTAAGTGGTTGTAAGTGGGTGTTCAGGTAGGCTGCATCTGACCTAACATAGCTTACAAGCGGGCTACAAATGCCCGACGTGATTTGGGGGTATATATACATACATACATATATACACACAAGTGGCACGTGTGTGCCCAGGCTCATACAAAAAAACTGAAAGGGCGTTTGAAGCAGGAAGACACCATGACTGCAGGATCGGAGATGGAGAAGGGGAAGCTGGGGCGGCGCCGCCAGGGCGTGCCTAAGAGAAGGGGAAGAGGCAGGAGGTGAACGCAGAAGAAACTAAGATCGAGGTCGCACTCGAGCGCAAGTGGGGGTGCCACACCTTGTGATGTGTGTACCAGGGCCCCCCAGGAAACCTCAGGAGGCCGACTTGGATACCGGAAGAGGCTCCAGGAGGCCCCGGGATTGTGAGTGTTGTGTGTGTGATGTGTGCTTTGTGTTGTGCGTGTTTTCTGTGCGTTGTAGCTGTTGTGTGTGTGTGTTATGTGTTGGGTGTGATTTGTGTCTCTGTGTGTGCATGTAGTTCTGAGACCCCAGGAGGCCCCAGGAGGCCCCAGGCGGCCTTAGGAGGCCTCAGAAGACCCCAGGAGGCTCCAGGAGGCCCCAAGAGGCTTCTGGAGGCCGCAGGAGGCCCCAGGAGGTTTCAGGAGACCCTCAGGAGGCTCCGAGGCGGGGGCTGGGGTACCAGAAGGTACAGAAAGCCCCAGGAGGCCCCAGGAGGTTCCAGGAGGCTCCCAAGAGGCTCCGAGGCGGGGTCTGGGGTACCAGAAGGTACGTCGTGGCTCGATGTTGGGAGGACGTCTCAGGCGAAATCGGGGTCAAAATCATTGAAATTACCATGTGTTTTGAAGGTTTTATGTTAGCATGTTGAAATTCCCATGTGTTTTTTGGACCCTGACTTCACGATCTGCGTGAGGGGTGCCACCGATTTTCAGGATTTCGAGGATGTCCCGAGCGAGACGGCCAGACAAATCGCGGACGCGGCGCCCCGCGTACGCACTAGTCGCCTCTGAGCTCTGCTCCCTCGGAGAGGTGCGCATGATAATATATATATATATATATGTGTGTATGTATGTATGTATGTATGTATGTATGTATGTATGTATGTATGTATGTATGTATGTATGTATGTGTGTGTATGTGTGTATGTATGTATGTATGTATGTATGTATGTATGTATGTATGTATGTATGGATGGATGGATGGATGGATGGATGGATGGATGGATGGATGGATGGATGGATGGATGGATGGATGGATGGATGGATGGATGTATGTATGTATGTATGTATATGTGTGTGTTGTGATTCAGGAGCACTCTTGGTCAGGATCTGGTCCCCAAGAAGCCACTGAAGTAGGGCACTTGGGACCCACTTGTAAGGCAGGTTTGGCCAGACACAACCCACAGTAGCATGCAATCAGAACCCCCTCTCCCCATGGCAACCTCGCGGTGATTCAAGCAGGCTCGCGCCGCGTTGACGTTGCGACGGCCCTGGCGCGGGCGTTCAGCTTGAATGCCGCCGGTGGCGCCACGCCTATTCAGCCACGTGCAGAAGGTGGTAGGGGGAGAGAGGAGGGCTTCTTAGAAGCACCCCTGCTTCTTCGAAGGCGCGGGCCTTCTGTATAAATGTACGGCCGGCGCCTTCTGAGAGACAACCTCTTTCGAAGAAGCCTTCCCCCCTCTCGAAACTCCCCGGTGCGCGCCGCCAGCCTGCCGAACGCTCTGCGCGATCGGAGGGCCACGATTGCTCAGAGGTGAGCGATCCACGCGGGGCCAGGCAAACCAGCACAGGAGGGCGGCAGGGAAGCGCCGCTCCCGCGCGGAACGGCTCCCGGAGCCCTTCCACGGAGCGCGGCTCTCGGCCCCGAGCTCTTTTTGGGGGGCGCGTAGAATGGGGGGGGGGGGGGGGGGGGCGACCCATGGGGGGGGCAGCGAGGGCTGCAGAAAAGGGGCCCTTCAGTGCCCCTGAAGGTCCCCTCCAGGGCCACAGAGGGGGCCTCTGGGGCCTCAAAACAGCATGTCTCTCCCCCCCCTCATTTATCGTCCCCGCATTAATTCGCGCCCAAGCCCCCAGGCTTTCGGCGCCTTCGAGAGCTATCAAGACGCGAGCTTTTCAGTGTTTGCTTTCCTGCATCTTCGGGCCGTCGTCGCGCCCTGGGGCCCCCATAGCCAGCAGAAAACCTGCTCGGGACGCGAGCGGCTGGCCCGGGGACAGAACGCGGTCGAGAGGGTCCCGGGGCTCCGCCGCGCCCTGGCAGCAGCAGGATCTGCGGGGGGAGGGGGGTCCACACGGCGCGGTGACCACACTCCCTGTGCCAAGGGCGCCCTCAGGGGCGCGAAGTCATTCGCGCTTCGCGCTTCGCGGTTCGGCTCGGATTCCTCCTCATCCTCCTCTTCTCTCTTGGGAGGCGGCGCGAGAGCGCGAAGTCAGTCGCTCCTCGCGCTTCGCACAGCGCGAAGCGCGAAGTTGGGAGCCCTTGCTGTGCGGTGAGGCGGTGGGGCTTCGAGGTGACCGCACGGTCTCGGGCCGCGGGGTCGCGTCGTGTCGACGGGATGCGAAAAGCGGGGTCGAGAGGGTCCCCGGCCCCTGGGGGGGGGGGCCGCGCCCTGGAAGAGGCAGCAGAGCATGCAGGGGGGGTGTCCCCACGGTGTGCGGCGTAGCCACACACACACACACCCTGCGTGGTGACTCGGTGGGGCCTCGGGGTGACGGCACGGTCTTGGGACCTGCGGCGGGCTCAGCGTGGAATTCTGCCAGCGGCCCAGAATCGGTCGATGTTGAACGCTCTGACGTTTCGGCAACGGCCGATCGTTCAAGAGGTTGAGCGATCCCCGCGGCGTCAGGAACTAGCGCCGCCGGGGTCAACACGACACGCCCCTGCCGTATAGGTCATGCTCCGAAGATGTATCGGCCAACTGGGGCCTCCAAGGTCCCAAAACCGTGTGGTGACGGACCGTGAGGTCTCTTCGGATTTCGAGTTAAACGCACGGTCTGTCAACGAACCGTGCTGGGACCCCCAAGAGACTGGATACCTGGTTTTGGATGTCGAGTTCAACGCACGGTCTGTCACTGTCACCGAACCGTCCTGGGACCCCCAAGACACCGGACGCCTGGCCTTCCGTCCCGAATCCCGCGGTTCTCCTTCTGGCGGCCTCCTGGGGAGATCTGGTCGCAAAAAAGTGTCTGTCTGCCTCAATGTCTTTGTAATCTGCAGAGTCTGGCGATCGGGGCTGCGATCGGTGGCCGCCAGTGGATATGGGAGCGAAATCGGGTCTGATTACGGTCAGGAGCGTTAGCTTAGCGTGTCGCGCAGGCGATTTTGACCCGCGCCTCGGCGCGACACACTAACCACGCCCCAGTCCCAAAGCATTAACGCCCCGAGCTTTTCCTAGCATCCCGCCCCGCGGAACGGAGCGACATGCCATCCGCTTGCAAGGCATAGCGTGTCGCCGGGGCCGCCGCCGCGACACGCTTAGCAAAAATTCCCGGCCGCAGTGGGTCGACCATGGAAACTCACAGGTCAAGGATGTCTTTGTCTCCTACCGCGTGTCATGCCCGCTCCATGTCTCAGGAGCACGGCTGCCGCCGGAAGAGAATAGACGTGTGTCTTCCCAGGGTTTCCCTTGCAATCAGCCCCAGCTGTGCTGGAGGAGGACGGGGGCTTCTGAGGACATGTACCTCGAGAAGAATCCTGGGTGCGTCGAGATCAGCGACAGGGCCATCCGGGACTGGACGGAGAAGAGCTGGGAGGGCTGGGGGTCGTCGAAGGCGGGGCCGAGACGGCTGTTGTGCAGAGAGGGGGGCGGAGGGAGGGGGGAAGGGGAGGGAGATCCTCGCCGGCACGCCGGAGGGGTCGAAGCTGCAGCATCGCAGGCCCAGACGTGTTACGTCTCGCTCCCTTCCGTGCAGGAGAGCCCGAACGGTCTTGCAGTGTCCACGGGTGCGTGGCTGAAGTGGGGCTCCGCGGTGCGGATTGTCGTTGTGATTATCGTCGTCGTCACCCTCCGCCCACCCCTCGACCCACCCGCGACACGCCCCGCGACGCGCTCGCGAGCCATCCCGCGGCCCACCCGCGACCCTCCTGCCACCCGCGCCTGCGACCCATGACCCACCCACATTGTCTCGCAAGGTAACGGCGCCTGCGGCAGGGTTCTTCACGCTGATTTCCGAACCTCGGGACCTGCCGAGGACTCGCCCCGCGACCCACCCACATGTTCGTCTGCCCAATACCCGTATTGTACAGCCATCGTTGGTTTGCTGTGAGCATCTAGATATATGCTGTGTGTATATATATATATATATATATATATATATATATATATATCCTGCATCTAATATATATATATATATATATATATATATATATATACGTATATACATGTATGTATATAACCATATAGTTAATCGCAGTCGAGCCTTAGTGCGCGGCCTACACAATCCAAGTCTATATGAAGCTATCTTGGTTCAAATCATGAGGGGAAAATGCACATGCACAGGCAAACGTCGATCTCCAAGAAAATAATGGAAAATATCGGAAGTGGTGGGGAAGACGAACATCCAGAACATATGACAAAACAGCTTGGGAATCCGGGGCTTTGTGTCTATCCAATTGCGTGTCCCCGGGCCCCCTCCTCAGACCCGGGTGCCCACCACCCCGCGCGAGCGCGCGGCGGTGATTTCCCGCCATGCGCGGCGCCGCCTCCGCCCCCCTTCTCAGGAGAGGAAAAAACACACAGACACAATGAATCGTCGATTCACCAGAAAATATGGGAAAATTTGCGCAGTGGGGGGGAAGACAGAAACCCGGAAAATATGGGAAAATATGCGGAATTATTTCCCCCTTCACCTTTCATCGTTGGGGCGGAGACGGGGGTGGCTTGGCGCCATGCCCGCCGCGCGGCGGCGGCCTGTCGCGGCCGCTCCGCCTCGCGAGGCCGAGCCCTTCGAGGCAGACAGGGGCGGGCGCCGTCGGCGGCGCGAGGCCCGGCAGAGGTCCGTCGCCCGTGGGACCACGCCTTGGAATAGGGCCGCGGGTGCAAGCAGGGGCCCCCGCCAGGGGCGCAGGGTCGGCGGTGGGCCCGCGCAAGTCCGCCCCTGCGCAGGGGCCTGCCGCGAGGTGCTGGCGCGCAGCGCGCGGGGACGGGGGGCGGTTTCGGATGAGAGCGCTGACTCGCGCAGGGGTACCCGACGTCCCCTTTCGGGGTGGCACGTGGGATGGACGCCCGTGCGCGTTCCGTCGGGCCTTCGCGAGGGTCAGCCGCCCCTCACCCAGGTCGAGATGGAGGGCTTAGCCACGCTCAAAGAGCTGGGCGAGGCTGCGAAGGATGACGGAGAGGAGATCGGTTGAGATGACCCTTATTGTCACACGTTCGACGACGTCGCGTACATGGGCGCAGAGATGCCAGAGGAGCGTCTCAGGCCATTTCGGTGGCGCCCGACGATCCCATCAGGAACCTACGATCGAGTATCAGAGACGAGGACCAGGTCGCAGCTCGAGCTCCGCGCGCGCGGTCGAGTAGCGAGGACGGCGAGCTTGATGCGCGGAGTCACCCCCCTAAGCGCGAGAAGTGGCACAGCAGGAGGCAGATTGCCCCCTGGCAGGGCGGCCCCCACCCAGCGCGGAGATGCTGGCGGTCCAGCCATGCCTCCCCGCCGACGCGGAGAGTCCGACGAGCATCGTGGGAAGCGCCAGTCAAGGTCTCGCAGTCGCCGCAAGGGCGGCTCCAGCGCCGTCGTTAGCGACCTCTTCGGTCTTCGGGTTCACAGATGAGTTCCCGCGACGCCCACCTCTCTGCGCGAGAAAAGGCCATGCTGTCTGTCGAGAGGAAGTCGCGCGAGTTCACGGAGCGCGCGCTGGCCAAGCTGAGGACCTACCTGGACGAGGGCGCTCGGGGTGCAGACCCCGTTCAGCCCACCACGCGCACTCACTTCGCCAGCGTGCATCTCCCGAGCTGCAACGGGGAACTGCCTCCCCCGCAACGAGCTGGAGACGCGGGCTTGGCCGCGGCAGTTGGCGACATCCTCGGCGCCGACCTCGGGAAGGCCGCGGATACGTTGGCTCAGCAAAACAGGCTCAGCAATACAGAGCCATCGAGCAGCTGCACCCGATAGAGGAAGCTGGCGCGCCGACGGCCATTACTCGGTGGTTGAAGGCGGACGATCTCCGCGATGGAGCGAGAGCAGCCGTCTTCGCCGCGGGACGGGCGGAACGACATCTCTAACTTGGGGCTGGCATTCCAGGCGCAGGGGCGGAGGAGCGTCGCGCAGCGACAGACATCCACGGGGGGGCCCAGAGAAGCGCTGCCCCTCCGCAGACGTCGCCACCCACTGGAGGCCAGGTGCGCGGCCCAGAGAGATCAGCCCTCGCAGCGAGGAGAAGCGCAGTTCAGTGGCGCTCCGCCCCGCGGCGGCCGTCGAGGAAGGCGGCCTTCGCCTTCCAGGGAGGTCGAAGGTCGCCAGCAGGTCGGCTTCCGCCGCAGCTCCCTTCGACGGGCTCTGTTCATCGCGCCACCCCCGCCAGCCGCCTCCTGCATGGCGGCGAGAAGGGGGCAGCGCCATCGGAGGATCGAGAGCGCGACCGCGGCGGGCCCGGGAGGCGTCGCCCCCTGCCCCCCCCCCCGCCCAGGCCATGCCGGAGGGCAATGGTAGAGGTGCACGCAAGAGCAAGGATGTGGCGAAGTCGAGCCCGGCCAACAGGGGCCCGCCGCAGCGGCGGCTTCAGCGCGGGGAGGCAGCCGCGCCGAAGCGGGAAGGTGCGCGCGGTCAGTGGCCGCGCGAGGCCAACTGAGCCCCCTCAGAGCCGCGGGCGCGCCGGCGCCGGGCCCCCGCTGGGGGCGCCTCGGCGCCTGCGCCCAGGGCGGGAGAGGGGCAGACGCCCCCGCTGCCCCAGACTCGGCGGCGCGCGCCCCCTCGCGAGGCTGAAGCCGCCCCCCCCCCCGCCCCCTTCCGAGGCAATGGGCGTCGGCGCAGCAGACAGAATTCGACGTCTCGCTCCATCGGCGCCCCCCGCCCAGCGATGATGGCGGCGGCGGCGGCGGCGCCGCGGGAGGAGCGCGCTCGAGGGCAGGGAGGGGCCCTGCCACATCTCGCCGCCCTGCGCTGGGAAGGTCAGAGGATGGCACGAGTTGCGCCAGAACGTCCCCGCCTGCGCCTCCGAGGGCGACTCTGCAGGGGGGACTTGCACGGGGCCGCCTCCGCTCGGGGCGGGGCCGCGGCTCGCCCGGCCCTCGCCGCCCTCGACGCGATGCGGCTCGAGGGCGAGGCAGTCTGGCCGCCGCCGCGCGACCGGGCCCCTTGCGACCTCCCATCCCATCGCTGGGGGAGGGGGGGGCCTTCTAGCCGTTGGAAAGGTGGGTCGACGCATTCATTCCGGGCTCGACCGCCGCCCCGCCCACTTCGGCGGCCTCCGCGCCCCCGGCCAGCGGGGGCGGGGGCCGCGCTGGCGAGGTCGCCCAGAGGGCCGAGGGCGCCCCCCAGCTTGCCCTCCAGAGAGCGGCGCGTCTCGCTGGGCGCCACGCGCGCGCGATGAGCGCGCGGATTAGTCGTTCAGGCACCCCGAGCGCCCCCTCGCGCCGCTCCAAGAGGCCCAGGCCAGGCTGGAGCTCGGCAAGGTCACGCTCGAGCCTGGCCCTTTTTCTCCGATAGCCAGAGGCCCGCTGGAAGGGGGGCTGGTAATTCCTCTGCGCGAGAAGGACCTTCCGAAGGTTGGAGGACGCCCTTTGCCCGATGGGCTGTTCGGCGCGTCGAAGGGGGGGCGGCCCCTGCAAGCCCGCAGCAGGGGGGCCCGTGGCGCCTGATCATGGCCCTCACGGCGACCAACCTTGTCTCCACCGGCTTCGAGGCGTCGCGGCCTTGTTCTACTTCGCGCAGCGGGGGCATGTGGTCCTCGGGCTTGAAAGGGCCAGGTCCGATCGTCCTGCGACTTGAAAGGCGTCTTCTACATGATCGGCTTGCCGCCCGGTCTCCCTCCTCGCGTTCGACCCCTGCTTCGCCCCGGGCGACTTCGGCACGGGGGGATCGTGAAGGGGCGGCGCGCACTTGGGAGCCGTCGCCACGCGCACGGGCCGCAAGAATGCAGTAGGCTGGGCGCAGCGCACCCATGGGCGCACGCTGGCCCCCCCCCGCATCCCCTGGGGTCTTCCGAAGCCGAGGAGGGCCCGCAAGGGCGGAGCTGCGCCTGCGCTGCGGGCAGGCGCTTCCCTGCGGGAGCTGCGGCGGGTGCGCCGCGGTGACGCCGACTAAGCCGAGCCAGTCGACGTCGCGACCGGCCTCGAGTGGCGCCACTCGTTTGTGGCGAGGCAGACGTACCAGGACCTGCAGGCGCCACTAAGCGATCAGAACGGCACGAGGCAGGCGAGCTGCCAGCGATTAGGAGCTGCGGTCGACGGCCGCGACGGGCGAGTCAGGGCGCCGCCTGGCCGCGCCGCGCAGACGGCGCAAACGCGCGCCCCACTTCCTGACCGAGATGGTCTCGCGGAAGGAGGTCCAAGTGGTGGCGGGCCATTGATGCCACCCGGGCTGCGTTCGGCGCGAGCGCGCTGCGGTTTTCAGACGTCTGTGGCAGATCATCAACGAGCGGGGCCCAGCCGCCATGCGCTGGGTGCCAGCTGCCGCGCGCGCCGAGCTGCTGCTGGCTCTCGGCCTCTTGCCGCTGCGCGAGTTCGATTTCGCGACTGAGATCTCCATTGTGATCGCGCGCAGCGATGCCTCAGAGTCAGGCGGAGGCGCCTGCTGTAGCCGACTCCCCCCGCCCCGAGGCCGCGCCAGGAGCGTTCGCTGATCCGGCCCGGGGGCGAGGGCAGTGCCAGGGCGAGGTTGGCCTCATCGAGTCGCATGTCCCTAGAGCGGCCAGGGGGCCGAGGTGGGCTTGCGCGCAGCCTCTGATATCCCAGAGCCCGCAATCCGAGCGATCCGCGGGCAGCGGCCCGACGGCGCGGGAATCGTTCAACCGATCGCAGCAGGGCCTCTCGTCGCGGGCGCCGAGACGCAACGTCCTGCGGGCCAGCGGAGGGCCCCCGTGCCAGGGGGCCGCGCGGGCCAACGTGCGCGCGCAATGGCTGGGCGGAGGAGCGGACGCAACTTGCCCGTCACATTCTGCGCGTACCTCAGATTTCGTAATAAAAGGGAGGGGGGCTCATTTCGGGGGGGGTCTCTTCCAGGCTATCTTGGAGGGCCTGGGGGGGTCTGGGGACGATGTTTTGGAGGGTTCTCCCACGGGGGGGGGGTCTAAAACTTTTCGTCTGGGAGGGTTGAGACCCCCTCCCTTTTATTACGAAATCTGGAGCACCCAACCCGAAGGTCCCGATTCACCTTCCATTTCCAGTGGGTGGGGGGGTTCGGGGAACATTGGAAGACCATATATGAGACCCATTCCCCCCTCCCCAGCCCGAAGTTCGGGTCTTCGGGCTGGGTTGGGGCAGTCATATAAAAAGGGCCGCGCGAAGGCGAGCGCAGCCAGGCGAAGCGGCCGAGGCTCTACTGGATCAGCTGGCCGCTCGGCATTCAGGTCCAAGAGTTTCGCTGGGAGGACTGTTCCAGAGTGGTTTGAGCGGCGCTCCGGAGGCCTGGCCCTCGCGGGCCGAGCGGCTGGAAAAGGGGGCGCGCCGTCCGCTGGGAGAGGGCATGGATCCTGGGCGACGCGCGTGCACCCGATCACCCGCGAGAGGACGCCTCCTTCCCCAGCGGGCCAGGCCACAACGTCAGCCAAGGCGAAGGCCCGCTGGGAGGCGGACCAGCACCGCTACGCCCAGTGCCAGTAAAAGAGCTGCACAACATGGCACTGGGAGCTGGAGCTATGATGCTCCAACCTACTTCAGCTTCGATCACCAACAAAAACATGCACCAAGAAGGTACCGACATTTAAACGTTTTCACGTGTCGGGCCCTGGGAGGCGATACTCGTTCGGCACTGTTTCGATAGTTTCCTGTCTGCTCGAAATTATGTGCGGGATGTGGTCCTTCAGCACGATGGGAGCAACATAGAGCTGGAGGCCAGCTCAGACCCCCGACCAGCTCAGAGAGGGCAGAGCGCCCAGGGCCCCCGTGGGACTATTAGTCAGGGCGCCACGGCCAAGCAGAGGTGGCTGCCGGATCGTGGAATCGAGGACGTCATGTGCGTCCTCCATGAAGGAGTTGTTTCTTTGTTCGAGTCGTGGGCATGCTGCTTGGAAGAGGCTTATCATTTGCAGGCGCGTTTTCCAGTCCGCCGTCACTTGCCGAATGCTGGGGCGCCCCTGGCGTTGAGGGATGGAAGTCTTATCTGTAGGCGTTGCCGGGCACCGAGCACGAAGGGAAGGGGGAAGAGGAGGAGGAGGAGGAGGAGGAGGAGGAACAGCAACAGCAGCAGCAGCAGCAGGAGCAGGAGGAGGGGAGGAGGGGGGAGGTGGGAGGGAGAGGGGGGAAGAGGGTGAGGAGGAGCAAATGGGGATGGTGAAGGGGAGGGGGCGGGAGAGGGGAATGAGGAGGGGGCGGGGGGGGCGTAGAGAGTGAGGGCAGCTCCCTCCTGGGCCGTTTTTCGCAGAGGGATAGACAGGGATGAGAAAAGGAGGAGGTGGTCTGCGTCAGCTCTGCGAAGGCCAAGCCCAAGACCTCGAACGACAAGCCCGAGATGGGCTTCGGGGCGTGGCAGCTCGACGACGGCCACACCGTCAAGGGCGCGCTGACGGCACTGTGCGCGCTGCAGAAGCGCAAGTACGTCGTGATGGAGGTGAAGGCCAATTTGATCGAGGAAGACAGGGCGGAGGCACTCAAGGTGTTCAAGGCGGCAAACTTCAAGACGTCCGCGGCAGTCTTGGTGGGGCCCCCATCGGCAGAGTTCAAGAAGAGGGCGCAGATGCTGACCCTCAGGCAGAAGCAGGAGGCTGCCGACAAGGAGCATCATGCGAAGTTCGAGGCCGCAAAGAAGAAGTGGGCTTTTGACAAGAAGAAGCGGGAGATGGAGAAGGCGCGCAAGAAGGCTGCAAAGGACAAAGAGAAGGCGGCCAAGGCAAAGGCAAAGGCCCTCGAGGAGGCCAAGAAGAAGGCCGCGGCGGCTAAGGAGGGCAAAGAGGTCGAAGAGGAGGAGAAGAAGGAGGATGAGCCCGAAGAGGAGGAGCCAGAGGAGGAGGAGCCAGAGGAGCCGGAGCCGGTTGAGGAGGACCCTCCAAAGATGACCTTGACCGCCGAGGAAAAGGAATTGCCTTTCCGACCCGTTCTCGTCCCCGACCTCACCCCGTCTGTATTCAACACGAAGTTCACCAAGTTCTCGGTCCCAGATAAGGCGGAGGGCTTCGACGAGATCCAGTACGAGTTCTTGAAGGAATCGGCCACACGCAGCGGGGGGTAGGGGTAGGGGGAAGGCTTTTAAGAAGCCCCCCTGCTTTTCAGAAGGCGCGGGCTTTATCTATAGATGCAGAGCCGGCGCCTTCTAAGAAGCAGCCTCCTTCTAAGAAGCCTTCCCCCTTTCCCCTACTCCCGTGTGCGCGCCGCCAAAGGATGGCGCCAAGTGCAAGAAATACGTTCAAGATTGGATCTCGAATCGCAAGCTGACCACGCGGGTGGAAGACATCAAGCCCTCGGACTGGTTCCTCACGTCCAAGCGGCTTTGGGACAAGTCCGTCCTGGAGTGGCAGGCCGCCCTCAGCAAGCACAAGTCCGCAATCATGAAGAAGGAGATGGACAAGAGAGCGAAGGAGATGCGAAAGAAGCAAGCAGCGGCGAAGGCTGCTGCGGCAAAGGCAAAGGCCGAGGCGGACAAGAAGAGTGGCGAGGACAAGGAAGAGGGCAAGGAGGAGGCGGCGAAGGTTGTCGAGGAGCCGGAGGAAGAGGAGGAGGAGGAAGAGGAAGAGCCAGAGGTAGATTTCGAGGGCATCGACGTCTTCGGAGTGGACGACGTCAAAGACATCGGCGGGGGTCTTCCACTGTACAAGGAGTTCACTCAGGACGATTGGGTTCTGATGTCCCTCGCCTTCGAGCTCCACATGCTTGGGCATTCCTTCAAGAAGGATTGCAAGGACGAGGATCGCCCGGGATTGCATGTGGACCACTTGGATTTCTATTCGGTTGCCTGCGGCGAACGCCGCCACAGGGCCAGCGCAACATTGACGTACAAGCGGTCTGGTTGACTTCGCTCGTCCGAGCATGCTCGCTGTATCCGCCTTAGGACCGTCTCGGATACAGCACGACGATGTTGCATCGCAGAGTGGCCAAGACGTGGCGTGATTGTGGCGCTGCCTCTTGAGGGCTTCTCCTTCGGTGCATCTTGTGGACCCCTTGACGCCATTCCGACAGCCTCTTGGATGCCCCGTTGGGGGCATATGGGGGGCTCTGGAGCCGTCTTGGAGGTTCCTCGGCCCGTTTCGGGATTGTCTTGAAGAGATCGTGGGTTTTCCCTATGGTGCTGCTTTGGGTCCCTCCGAAGTCGCTCTGGACGCATATTGTGAAGGCCTTGCAGCCAGTGCCGCCGACCCAGAAGGAGGACGACGTTCACCACGACGACAACGACATCGACGAGCTGATGACCCTCCCTGCCGCAGGCTCGAGACATGGTGCGGGCGTTGGAGGGAGAAGGAGGAGGAGGAGGAGGAGGAGGAGGAGCACGAGGAAGAGGACGACGAGGAGGAGGAGAAGAACGAGGAGGAGGGGGAGGAGAAGGAGGAGGAAAAGGCGGAGGAGGAGGAGGAGAAGGAAGAAGAGGAGGAGGAGGAGGAGGAGGGGGAGGGGGAGGAGGGGGAGGGGAGGGGGAGGGGGAGGGGAGAGGAGGAGGAGGAGGAGGAGGAGGAGGAGAAAGAGAGGATGACGAGGAGGAGGAAGAGAAAGAGGTGGAGGAGCAGGAGGAGGAGGAGGAAGAGGAGGAGGTGGAGGAGGTGGAGGAGGAGGAGGAGGAGGAGAAGAGCCGTCTGTATCTTCGGGGGCGAGCCAGGGCTGGGGCCGGGTCTGGGGCCAGAGCCAGGCCCCCCGCCCCGCGAGCGGGAAGGGATCAAAGGGAAGGGGTTCCCCTTCCATGTGTTTGGAACATCGTTCGATGTGGGGTTGGAGTGTTGGTCGGGAGCTCCACGTCCCCTCGCGCTCCGTGTATTGGTCAGGAGCCACCAGGAAGGAGGAGGATACCGACGACGACGACGACGTCAGCGACGACGACAACGACGAGCGGAAAAGCGTCCCACACGCCGACAGGGTCGGCGGATTTCTTAGCAAGGCTTGTCTTCTGATACTTGTTGTGCACGATACGCGCATGAGCTTGTACCGTGACTTCAGGCTGTTCTAAACACGCACACACAGCACTTCATTTGCATGGAGGAAATCCCTTTTGGGTGCTTCTTGGAGCATTTTTGGGCCCCTGGGGGGAATCTCGAAAGGTCTGGAAGTAGATGAACCGTTCTGGGATGGTCATGGGGGCACCTCCGCTTTGACGCGGCACTGGCCTGCCCCAGTGCCGTCTTCGGGGCTGCGAGGAGCGCTGCAGCACGACGTGGAGGGGGGCACGGGCCCGTCCGAGGGGGGGAGCTGCCTTCCCCAAAACTACAGAAACCCTACCAGACAGTCAGAGTCCCGAATCATCAGGGGTAACTCGGGTCAGGGTTAACTCGGGTTCGTTTTTCGGGAATCCGAGCCCGAGTTACCCCGGACCCGAGTTACCCCGGACAATTCGGGCGTCCAGAGCCCCACATCATCAGGGGTAACTCGGGTCAGGGCTAACTCGGGTTCCTTTTTGGGGAATTCCCACCCGAGTTACCCCGCACCCGAGTTACCCCGGATAACTCGGGCGCCCAAGACAGCTGATCAAGCATTCGAACACGCCCCAACGTCCAACAGGCGCCTCGGCGGATTACAAGAAGTACTTCAAGAAGGGGTTTGACCCGGCTTCGTTCGGAAAGGAGACCGCAAGGGAAGTAGTCGAGTTGGTGCGGGACGCGGTGCTTGTCGACGGCAAAGGGGTGCTCGTAAATTGCCTGTCTGAGGAGATGGAGACCTACCAGATCTTCGTCAAGATCACAGAGGAGGCCCGTAGATTCCGCCTCATGCGCATCGACCTGGGCGAGGAGTCGGCGGTGCTCAAGTTCGCGGCGCAGAACGGTGGCCAGCAGTGGGCCCACGGCGCCAAGAGGAAGCGTTGGTCGTCGAAAGTTTCGGGGTGGGTGGGCTGCAGGCACTTAGCGGGGGCCCTGGAAACGACAGGAGCGTTTTTGTACCGGTTCCGTTTTGCCATTTGTGTTGCCGGTTCCGACGCCGTTTTCTTACCTGTTCCGGCGCCGTTCTTTTACGGGTTCCGGCTCCGGTTCCAATCCTGGAGCCGTTTGTGTTGCCGTTTCCGGTCGCCGTTTTTTTGCCGTTTCCATTTTCGAGGGGCACTTCTTCGGGAACGGTCAAAAAACGGCCTTGCCGTTTCCGGGGCCCAAGAAGTGCAGGCAGGGCACGGTTGAAGAGAAGAAGGAGGGGCGGGACCCACCAAACCACCCCAACCCAACCCGAAGGCTCAGATTTACCCTCGATTTCCAGTGGGGGGGGTCGGGAAACATCGAAAAAGCACATGTGGAACCCTTACCCCCCCCCCAACCCGAAATTCGGGTCTTCGGGTTGGGTTGGGTTGGTCTGGTGGGTAGTCAGTAGGGGCGGGACCCTGAGATCCTGGCGTTGCAGTTTTTGTCACCTCGGGCGCTTTCGCCCAGTCTCGGGCCCCCGCTCGAAGAGTGACGCAGAGCGGCGGGGCCTGGGCATCCGGTCGCTATGTTTCGGGATGCGGCGTTGCCTGTCGCAACATCGGATCTCACTGGAGGAGGGTGGCGGGGCTTGTTAGAACGTGGGACCGCGATCTCACGCATGCAGGGGGGGGCTCGAGGTCCACACATACACGCACACACACACACACACACACACACACGCACGCACGTACGCACGCACGCACGCACGCACACACACACACACACACACACACACACACACACACCACACACACACACACACGCACACACACACACACACACTGAGACATGCTCTGAAACTTGCGATAGGTTTCACTGCCCTGGCGTAGGTGAAGAAGCCACACCCCACACATGTCTTGCTCGAGCCGCCACGCCCAAACATCCACTGCCATGGCTATCTCAATGCCCGGACCCGAGGCAGGTCTCGACACCCTCCCCACAGCTGTTCTTCGTCCGGGACCCATGTCTGAGTTGCCTGGGACCCGATAGCGATTGAGGAAAAACTCCGGGAGTGAAGAAAGCGATCAGCCCCGAAGGCTGGACATGCCTGGGGACCAATCCCGTTTTCGGCAGCGAGCCCGGGGGGAAGTTGGAGGGGGCGGGCCTGAGGCTTGGAAGTCCCCCAGGCGTCCGAGAAGCTCTGTTAGCCTGCCCCGAGGACGCAGGACGCTCCTCAGAAGGCTGGAGGGCCTCTGGGACGCCCTGCCGCCTTCTGTGGAGGCCGCCTCCCTCTCGCTTCCCCCCCCCCCCGCTGGCCGCCGACGCCTTCGTGGGCCAGAGACAGGTCCGCATCCGCGGCCTCGTGGGCCTGGCCCCCTGGGGGCCACGCGCCCGCGGCTGCGGAGCGCCCTCTAGCACGGGTCGCTGCGCGCGGGGCGTGCGCGTGCGGCCCGCGCATACAGTCGGGGCCCTGAAGAAGGCACCTTTTCCGTTGGGGAGGGGCTGTTCCTTCCTTGTTTTACAGCTTGCCTGAGGTTTTCCTTAGGTTTTCGACGGGAAACCCAAGTTTAACTTTGGAGAAAAGGGACCCCGTTCCTTATGTAGGGTTCCTTAGGTCAACGCCCCGACTGTATCTGCGGGACCCAGGCTGCGAGGGCGCGCATCGATGCGGCTGTGCCTGCCGCCCGTGGCGTCTGGCGCCCTCCCCCCCCCTCAGGAAGAGCGACTGGGCCCCCGCGTCCGGCGCCCACGGCAAGGGCGCCTGGGGCGGCTGGGCGGCGGCCGGCAAGGCGCAGAAGGGCAAGGCCCGGGGGAACCCCGAAGCGAGAGAGCCGCTGCCCGGAGAAGCCCCGGGGGGGGGGCCAGGTAGTATGATTCAGTCATCTGACATTATCATTATCATTCTCCTCCTCCTCGCATTCCTCCTCCTCTTCCTCCTCGTCCTCCTCCTCCTCCTCGCATTCCTCCTCCTCCTCTTCCTCCTCGTCCTCGTCCTCCTCCTGCTCGTCCTCCTGCTCCTTGTCCTCCTCCTCCTCCGGCCCTCGCGGCCGAGGACTAGAACGAGGACGAGGAGGCGGAGGCGGAGGATCAGCAACAGCGGGTCCCCTAGACGTGTCGGTCCTTACGGCTTCTCATCCCGAGTCGCTTCTTGACCCGAGGCCCCCATCAACACCGACGGATTCGCCCTTGGCCCTGGACCTCTTTATTTTCGTCGTTCGCTCGCCAGTCTTCCCTGGCCCTGGTCCCAGCCACCTTGGCCCCCCCTGGCCCACGCCCGCCCTGGCCCTGGACCCTGCCCCCCTGGCTCCAGGCCTCTTGCCTTTCGTCGCTCTCTCGTCGTTCGTCCCTGGTCCTGGCCCCATCTCCTACAGTCGGGGCCCTGAAGAAGGAACCCTTTTCGTTGGGGAGGGGCTCCGCGTTCCTTAAGTGTTTCACAGTTTGCCTCAGGCTTTCCCAATGTTTTCGACAGGAAATCGAAGGTTAACTTGTGGAAAAAAGGGGCCTCGTTCCGTATGTAGGGTTCCTTAGGTCAACGCCCCGACTGTATTTTCGTTGTTCCTTTGTCGCCCGTCCCTGGCCCTGGTCTAGCCCCCCAGGCCCCGCCCCCCCTGGCCCTCGTTGGCCCTGGCCTTCCCCTGGCCCCTGCCCGTCGCCCCTGGCCCTGGAACTTGCCCCCTGGCCCTGGACCTCTCCATTTTCGTCCTTCGTTCGTCGTTCGTCCCTGGCCCTGGCGCCAGCCCCCCTTGGCCCTTCCTGGCCCTGGCTTGGGTTCCTCCTGGCCCTGGACCCCCTGGCCCCAGGCCTCTTTATTCTCGTCGCTCTCTCGTCGTTCGTCCCTAGCCCCTGGCCCCAACCCCCCTGGGTCCCCCTCTGGCCCCCTGGATTCCCCGTGGTCCCTGCCGCGTTCCGGGGCAGGGAGGGTGCAACTCGGTCGGTTCGGCGTTGCGCACGGGGGGGCGGCGCGGGTGCGGCGACCTTCGAAGAAGGCCTTGGTGTTTCTCGATCAGTGGCGAAGGATATTTCAAGCATTCGGCTTCGCCATGGGGGTCGCCTGTCCCAGCGCGGCTTGGCTCAAGGGGCCTTTTCCTGAACTCCCAACCTCGCTCAAGCGATTGAGGCGTGTCGGTTTGTTCGGATTGATCGCACCAGAGACTCTGACCAGGGCTTCGCGACCCCATGACTAAATCCCAGTACGTGCAATGTCGGCAGTGCAGCTACCAGTGGAGCTGGCGTGCGCGGGCAGCTTGCTACAAGTGTGGAGGAGGCCTTCAAACGAGTCCGAAGGAGGTGCAGCCACCCCAAGGACAGTGGCCGTCGCCTTCACCCCCGCAGCCGCCTCCACAGCCTTTTTTCCCGCTCCCTTCGTCGCAGCCTGTTCGGCCTCTGTTCCCGCAGTCGCAGCCACAGCGTTACCTCCCCGCTCGCCCTGCCGCCGAGGCCCACAGCACCGCCGCCCACGTTGCCAGCGGATGCGATGGGCTACGACCAATGGGGCGACCGGATGACGCAGAAGAAGAAGAAGAACAATAACCGCAAGAAGAAGAAGGAGGGTGGCGTCATCGACCTGGACGCGGACGACGTGGTGCAGGAGGACGCCTTCGCGATCATCGCGAAGAGGCTGGACCCCGAGGCCATGAAGGAGCTCAAGAGTAAGGTCGTGATGCCACCCAAGCCAGTCCACACCACTCTACCTGAAGTCAGTTTCAAGCAAGCTGCTGAAGCCGCTCGTGCTGCCGTCGAGGAGTACGAGGGGGCCGTCGCCTGGGTGGGGAAGGCGAAGCAGCAGTGGCAGGAGGCTGAGAAATACTTGAAGGAGCAGGCCAACGCGCTGGCGGAGGCCGAGGCGGAGGAGGCCCACCCCCAGCCGCAGCTGGCATCGACCTGCTTGCGCTCCTGAAAGGAGAAGACATTTCTATCAGTGAAGGAGACTTGCTCGACCTGGACGCTGGGGGCGATGATTGCGAAGGCGCTGGCGAGCTTTTAGAGCAATGGAAGCAGAAGAAAGAACAGCAGGGCGCCTCAATCAAGCAGATGGTCAACGACCACCTCAAGGCTATGGCCGAGCAGGTCAAGGCTCAGGCGGGCGCTATTCGTGATCAGCGCCAGCGCCTGATCTCCCACAAGCGCAAGAAGGGCAGCGATGCTGCCCCTCTCGCGGGCGCTCCTGCTGAGCCCGCGGCAACGGCATCTTCGTCGCAGACGCGGAAGACCGCAGAGGCCACCATGTCTTCGCAGTCACAAGAGATCAAGGAGAAGATCAGCGCGCGCACTTCAGAGCTGATCGCAGCGGGCAAGGGCGCGAGCAAGGGTGGCGCCCCCAACGGCAGCGGCACGGGCGCTTGACACGCCCCAGCCCACTTCCCTGGGCTATTCGCAGAGGGAGGCGCAGAAGCTCGCTGCGGCAACAAGGAGCTCGTGGCCGCTGAGGCTCCCACACCTACACCTACGAGTACGGCCACATCAGCGACTTCTCTGTCATCCTCCAGGCGAGGGTTGAAGAAGGCTGAGACTCCCGCTCCAATGGCCCCTGGCTACGCTCACGTCAGAGGAGTTTCTCCCGCGACGGCGCAGAGAGGGCCAGGAAGCACTGGGGCGGGCGAATCGGCTGGAGAACCTCAGCCGCTTGCACCTTGTCCTGGAGTTCTACGTCGTCTTCCCGCTGGCAGGGCAGGATGTGAGAAGCCGCCCAAGATCTACACGCGCAATCTCACCAAGTGGGGCCCCAAGGTGGTGGAGCACCTGAAGAAAGATTGGCAGCAATATGACGTTGTTGGCCTTTGCGAACACCACAGAGGGCCTGGAGATATGGACGACCTCGGTAACGACATTGCGAAGGCAGGATGGCGCCCTGTTCTCTCGCCCGCTATGCCCAGGGACAACGTTCCTCAGGCTGGGAGAACATTGCTTGCAGTCAAGCGCGGGCTGAACGCTCGCCCATTCGCTCATCTTGCGTCTCACACCTCGCAGTGTTATGGCGCAAGCGATGGAGGAAAGAAGGAGCGCGGACATGGCCCTGTCGACTTCCATGATTTTTCAGCTATGAGTATCCGCGCATCTTGGCAGCAGATCGTAGTTGCGCACATTCACCTCGGCCATGGCATCGGAGTGCGAGGCAGAAACCTACGCAGGCTTCGCGCGATCGGCGGCTTCCTATTGGCGCAGGCCGCCCCGTGGATTGCTTTCGGCGATTGGAATGTTGAGCCCACGGACCTCAACGCCTGGATGGAGAAGCTGGGGGCGGTCCACGTTTTACCCGAGAGCGTTGCCGTGACAAGCTTTGC